AAGCAGAAGGCAAATGTTTTGAGAATGATGAGGGCAACAAATGTACAAATGTGCTTGACACAATGGATGGATGGATGGATTGTGATAAGAGCTGTACGAGCTCCCAATAAAATGATTAAAGTTAATCAATAAATAAAAATTTAGAAAAAGAGTTTTTTTAAAAGATAAAGAAAAGGAATCAAAATACTAATATCATCAGTAGCAGCCTAAGTAGTACAAATGACTAAAAGTTAGCCCACTAGCCCCAAAGCTTGACAGTTGAAACTCACTTGGAAGACAGGCCTGATTTGTCTACGTCTAAAAGGTCCCCGAGCCTTGCAAAACCTTGGAAGCGGCTCTGCACAGCACACATGAAGTTACAGTGAAGCAGAGCTAACGAGGCATCTAACAACAGCAGCAATGCTGGCTGTAGTCCATGCGGCAGCAGTAAAAACCATATCGTTTTTTAAGGACTGTCAGAGTGGCAGGTGCCACATCTATCTCATTTTTTCTAACATCCAGAAAAGTCTCGTGTATCCTTGTTTAAGAGAAGTGAAAAGTGAGGCTAAGAGATAAGATGTAGTGGATTTTGAGTTCACAGTTCATTGTAAGCTCCAGCCTAAGAACAATGAGTTCTCGTGATGTGGCCCTGCACAATACTTGCCCTCATGAAGTGATCACTGAAGCTATGGGTGCCGTAGCAACCGTGGTGAAGAAATCAGACTGCCTGGCTATCAGAAAGAAGAGCACCCAGGGTCCTAACGGCTTGTTCTAAACAAGCAGCCGTCTAGGTGAGGTACCTCCTGTCTGTAGAGAAGGACAAAAATGTGAAGCAAAATTCAAAATAATAAAGAACGGGTTTACTAGTGGCATCCCTGAAACTGTGGTTCTTGACCTTTATGAATACCTGGAATTGAACTCATATCCTTGGATCAACTTTCAGCCAAACAAGGGTAAGGCCAAGAAAGGGCACACTAGCCCAAAGCAGGTGCACACTCCGTAATACCGGACGGGCAGCATTGAGCCAGGAATCAATCCGTTCGTGCTACTGTAGTGTTCTTCTTATGTTAACATCTGTAGGGTTTCAGGGACATAGCAGTCCCAAAGGTCTCGTTGGACAGAGTGAGGGACAAAGCTGACCGCTCCTTGAAGCCATGTGTAAGCTTCACTTGTGGGCTTTTGGGCAATGTAAGTGTTGCAACCGAAGTTTATTTCTTTAAGATATACTTCGGTGGCTTTGTTTCCGAAATTCGTAGTTTAATGAAGGTCTTATTAAGTCACATCTTCTAATTAGGATGTGGGAACATATCCCAGGGTGGGGTTTGGTTTTTATGCCATTGTTCAGGAATCCCTAATGTTGCTGAAAGTAAGCAGATTTGGGAGAAATGTTTAAGCAGTTTAATAGGACAAATTACAATATTATCAGGCTCCTTCAAGCAATTCCAAAGTGTCTGTTTACATTTTTCAGTGACTATGGTAATTATGCTTTATTGATTAAAGATCAGTGGAAACCTCAGACCTATGCTAACCTCATCTGACTTACCACATATCTGTGCTTTAGAATAATCACCCTGGACTTTAAGATACGGCATGTTAAAATTCAAATGCATCACTGATTTTGAAAAGAATTTCCCCAGTGATCCTTAATTAAGAGGCTTAATAGCCTTAAGGGTGGGGTAGGGTGGGTTGGGGAAGTCAGAGCTGAAGCCTGTGGTGGAATTCGGTTATACCTACAGGAGGCCTGTGATGATGTTACACCAATAACCTCTGTTCCTCACTGCAGTGGGTGATTGATGACTTGCTTTAGGATTTCTGTGAAGAGCTGGCTTTCATAAAGCACATAAACTGAGAAAAGAGTTGCCTTAAGAAACCCATTTGCATGTACCCCTGTTTAGTAATTTTTATTACATCACAATCCAGCCTTGGGGACTACCAAGGCCTCTCCCTCCTCCACAGGTCTTTCAAGGTCACAGTTCTCTCAGGAATGCAGTTAAAATAAGCAGGTGAGAGTATGAGGCCCTGAACACAGATGGGATCAAGTTGTCCCTGGTTAGAACACAGAGAAAATCGTTACACCTGCTTTGCCAGGTAGAAACTGCCAAAAATGGGAACCGTAAATCATGTGCTTCAGGTCCCAGGTTGGGGCAGGAAGTGTTGATTGGATGGCTGGAGTTAAGTGAAGTAGAAAAAAACCCAACGGCAACCTATGCCTCACAGAATATATAGACCAGGGTATGGAAGCCTGAGATGGCTGAAGAAAGGTCTGTGTTCCCCAGGAATGACCCCGTGAGTTAGTGAACCTGCTGGGGAAGGAAGAGGAGCAAGAACAGTGTTTATGGAATCATTGCCTGCATGCAAGAGACGTTCATTTCCAAAGCAGGTAGGAGACAGAAACAAATGTGATGTGACTAATGGGAGTACACAACAGAACCAATTGCTTTCAGTGCTGCTTTACAGTGCTAGCTAATTTATGCAGCAATAAAGCAGATCCCAGCCAACGGGGCATTTTACAACCCCAAATACCAATTATGGCAATCGATGTTTAGCATATTCTTACCTCTTTTATGAACCCCTTTCCCTAGATGTGTGTCATGATGTTGAGTTTTGTCTGGTCACAGTGCTGTTGTGCTCTTTGTAAGGCACCCTGTCTAACACCCTCAGTACTTCCTTTTGGATTATCCATAAAGACCTGTTCAGCCTCCTGGGTTCCCTGCAGGGAGTCAATGCAGAGCTGCTGACTGCTGCAGTGCAGTGTCAGCACCCCCCCCCAATCTTAGAACTGAGGCTGCTGAGATGGCATTGGCACCCCCTGAATTTATTCACGACCCTTGTTCTCTTAGCAAATCAGACTAGCTCTCTTGGGGAAAGGGATTAACTAAGATATCCCTGAGCTACTACTGGTCATGATTCCAGTAAGGAGCATTTGTGAAAGACTGTGTGCATGCCTGCAGAGGTCCTTTCACTGATGGGAGAAGATAAATGAACACTTTGCTGGGCAGGAGTCATTTCATCAAATATCATGGACCTGCTCCCCTAAGCTCCCCTCTTGTCATTGGCCCGTCTCTTGTACATGATTAGCCCACTTCCCATGTTGAGAACATAGGAATCCTCCTCCAGTCTTACTACTGAGCGAGTTTCATTTTTGTTCTCGGGAGGGATTCGGTGTTTATGTGTTTAGGATTTATGCCTCACTTGTTTCCAAAGGGATTCTAGGTTGAATATACAAAATAATCTCTGTAAGGATAAAACACACAAAGTAAAGGTTACCAGATGGCTGGAGGGAGCCAGGAAATAAAACTGAAGAATTTATTTAGGGCTTGAGGACATAGCAAGACATAATAGAAAGAGAAGCTTGGGTTATATGGTTTTCATCTTTCAAATGGAAATCTTACAGTCACTTACAGAGATGGCCATATGTAATATATATGCAATATATATTACAAAATAACTCACATGATTCTTCTCATGTGAATCTTTATATTAAGAACAGTTAATTACACATTTGTAAACAATTTGCTATATTTCAAATGGCTTCACTCCTGCTGCTCCGTGGAGTTTGGGGATGC